ACCAGGTGGTCAAAGATATTATCACCAGTAATGGGCCAGAGTGACATCATGGGCCTTCTTCTTCTTCTTCTTTTTTTTTTTAAAGATTTTATTTATTTATTTATTTGAGAGAGAGAGACAGATCATGGGGAGGAGGGGCAGAGGGAGAGGGAGACAGAGTCTTAAGCAGACTCCATGCTGAATATAGAGCCCAACGCAGGGCTCAATCTCACGACCCTGAGATCATGCCCCTGAGATCAGGACCTGAGCTGAAATCAAGAGTCAGATGCTTAACCGACTACACTACCCAGGCGCCCCAACATCATGTACCTTCTGATATGATATACTGAGAATACATCATTTCAGTGATATTCCTGTCAAAAATGCCTAACTACCTAAAAAGATATGACAAATAAATACAAAGTCTGACTCTGGATTGGATCCTGGATGAAGAAAAAACAGTTATAAAAGACTTTTTTGAGACAACTGATGATATTTGAACATGGACCATCGATTGGAAAATAGTATTGTATCAATGTGAAATGTCTGTATTTTGAAAATTGCACTGTGGTTATGAAAGAGAGTCCTTTTTCTTAGAAAATGTACAGTGAAGCATTTGGGGGAAGAGGGCATTATGTCTCCAACCTATTCTCAAATGGTTCAGAAAAATGCATATTTATCTATCCATCTAACTATTAATGATAAAGGAAATGGAACTGAGAATTTCCTGGAATTTTCAAAAGACACCAGATCAAGGAATCTCAATAAATTTCAAGCAAAGTAAACGGAAAGATAGCCACATTCATATATATCCCAATTAAACTGCAGAACACCGTAAAAAAAAACAACAAAAACTTAAAACAGCTATAGAGAATAGACAGATGATGTGTCAAAGTGGCAGTTAGACTTACAACTGACTTTCCGATGGAAATAATGGAAACCAGAAGACAGGTAAGGAAGAGTATGTCTGGAATACATGAGATCCCTTAGGGGGGGTCTCTTAGTTTATCATGCCCTGTGATTAAGGTTAATGGCAAACTATGACAATTCAATCCAGGTTGTATCAGTAATGGCCAGACTCTTTAGGAAAGATTTGGGTCACCCCCACCAGGTAAAGAACTAGGACTAGCTGCAGAAGTGTATATTGGTCTTTAGGAGGACGATTCAAGAATCTATCAACGTTATAAAGTAACTGCCTTTGATTCAGCAATTCCACTTCTGAGAATCTACCCTTTTAATATATATAATATGTATAAAGATGCATGTGCAAGGATGTGTGGTCTATCACCAGAACCATGAAATCTATCATGATCCATCCCAACCAAAAGAATACCATGGATATACCTCTGTATGCTCTGTCATGCAAGCATCCTTAAGATCTCAATTTATTTCGATCAGTGAAAATAGCAAATCATGCAGACCATTACCTTTTGTACAATTTCATTTCTATAAAACTGAAAGTATGCACAAACATACAGTTGTGTGTCTAAACACATATACAGACAAGTGTGTGTGTGTGCGCGTAAATATCGAGAGAAAGAGCTATAAGAACATACACCAAACTGGGAGGTGGGGGAAAGAGATGATGATTTGTATCAAGGAGGATGTTTTCTTACTCAGTGTACTTCTGTGATGCTTGAGTCTTTCACAACACAATGGGTTAATATATTGCTTGTGGATGGAGAACATTTAAAAAGTAAACTGCTCTAAAGTAGACAGACCAGCATTCCCAACTGCTCCTTGAAAAGAAAGGGAATGTTTTCAAAACTTAGAGCCACCCCTTTCTAGAGCCCTCCCCTAGCTAAGTGAACTCAAGGCCAGGGTGAGGAATTGTTCTCAGGGCTCTGTGGGCAGGCATCTATTCTCTTGGACATGAGCTGGGACTCTGAGTGGAGCATCAGACTCCGTGTATGGAACACCCCAGTCATTTCCATTATCTGGGAGGCGTCATCCCAGCACTGCCCCATGCAGGGTGGCCGACGGCTCCCATTCACCCACCCTGCTGTATCTCAAACCCAAGGCTAGCCTTTTTTAGGAATAGCAAAAGAAGCCTTGATGATAGTGTTTTCCAGGTCTCTGAAATTTGTGTCCTGGAGTAGAATAAGGTCAACCACAGTGACAAGCAAAACCAAGAATGAGGCAGTGTGTAGAGTATGGTGATGATTGCAGTTTTCATTTCCTCTAGGCAGAGAAACCTCAGGAGGCTGAGGTCAGGGCTTCCCAGCATTTTTACCCTGAGACTTATTGGGACATTTCAAAAGTTTCCCCCCACACCTTGGTGTGTGTGTGGGGGGCAGATGATTCCTTCTCCAGGGATGGGATGAGATTGTATGCTGAACTTTGTGTGAGACCAAGTACCCTGTAGAGACAGGAGAGACTGGGAATTGGTTTGTTCTCTGGGGAGTTAAAGTGTTGGGACGTTCACAATTTTAACCTTATTTAGAAGTTAACATCTGAATATAGATTTGAAGAGGTAAGAGATGAAGCCAAGTGAAAGTCAGAAGGAAGGGTATTCAGGTCCAAGGAGCAGCAGGGCAAAGGCCCTGAAGTAGGATTGTGTCTGGTGTGTTACACAACCAAGAAGTCTTTGTGGGAGGGAAAGAGATAAGATCAGAAGGGAAGGGAGGAAGATGGAGAATGAGAACTGCCTTGATAGCTTGTGAGGACTTTGCCTTTTATTCTAGATGAATTAGGGAGCCGTTAGCAGTCTAAGAGCCAAGTAGAACCATGATTTGGTTGTGTATAATAGGATAGTTCTGGATGCTATGTTGAGAACAGACTTAATGAGTAAAGGAATAAGGGGAAAGCAGGGAGGCCAGTGAGGCAGCAACTACAACAGTCCAAAGGAGAGCTAGTAGAGTTGAGATTTTCTTGACAGAGTGGCCAGCATCACCTGGAGAGCCTGTGATACTCTTTGGGAGACAGGGACTCTTTAGAACAAATAATGAAATGAATATACCACTTCTCTGTGTTTCTACCCCCTGAGGTTGATACTTTTATTAGTCTGGGGTGGGACCAAAGAATTTGCATTTCTACAAGTTACCCCGTGATAGAACTGCTGGTCTGGGAACCATACTTTGAGAACCACCAACTTTTTCTTCACAACACTGATGAAAATGTGCAATGAACATGTGTTTATCATATTTCCTCAAGAGAGCACCTTGCTTACCCTTGTGTCCCTGTGCCAAGCATGATGCGCTGAGCTCAGCTCTGGGCCAGGCATGGTGCTGTACTGAATGAAGTTCTTGAGCATCTCTGGTTTGAATGGTTTGGAGGTAACTGGTGATTAAACTTCTCAGGAAATGGTCATTAGAGGGAAGGGATTCATTATAATAACAATGACAATGGGTGTGACACTCCGCCTGGGCATTTTACTACATCTTCTCCAATTAAATCCTGTGAAAGCCCTGTGAGTCTGGCATTATCACCTCTATTTTATGAATCTTGGGGTTTTATTTTCCCAAGGTCACACCATTAACAAGTACCACAGCCCAGCCAGGCCTGACTGACCGCTCTGCTGTGTTTACATCACAGGCTACGTCAAGAAGTCACTGATACCAGGAGATTGCCTTGAAGACAGGAGCTTCCTCACTTGGGGACTGTGCGCCATTTTGAAAAATGCAGGGAATATGCCATCCTTTAAAAAAAAAAAATGCCTCCTGCCTGAATTGAGAGCCCTGTTCCCACAGCACCTTTCCAGCCCCAAGCTCTTCTTGACAGAGCGCTGGTCCCCTAATAGGTAGCAGCGGCTGTCCCAACATAAGGCTTTTTGCTGACCTTTGTGGGTTTTTGCCGTTCTCTGGTGGAGCACGTTTCCTCAGCTCTCACCTTCTTCTCAGCCTCCTCCTCCTGTAGGATGATGGACACAACTCCGGGGCTGAAGCCTCACAAATCGAGGCCAGCCTCTCTCTAAATGGAATCCATCGCTCTCCCGAGAGAGGGGGAAAATAAAGTTCCAGGACTTCCCGCCTCATCAGTCGCTCTCTTCCCCCGCCCTCCCCAGAGGATAAAAATAGCCTCCTCCCGGGGCCTCCCAGCCGGAGCAGCAACGGCGCCCGGAAACCGGGCCTGCCCCGCGAGCAGATGCGCAGGGACGCGCGGGGCCGGCGGGCGGCCCGGGGATCAGGGAGCGGACCTGCCCGCACCGGCGAGGTGAACCGGCCGGGAAGGGACGCTGGGAAGTCTCAGCCGAGAGAGGGGGCACCTGGAGCAAGTTTGAGCGCGATGGTGGGGGCTCACATAAATGCACCCGGAGACCTGGAGGTCCGCGCGCACGGGCTCGTTCGGAAGCCTTTGGAAAAGCCGAGGCGTATCCGCGATTCTTAACCTCTTGAGTGGCCCGGGACTCGCTAGCACAAATGACGAAACGTACCTAGCACTTCTCTGTGTGTGCCCAAGCACACAACGGAGAAACACACACACACACTTCGGCACACCACAGGTTAACAAGCCCAGACGAGGGTTGATAATGGGGACGCAGACGATTATAAAAAATAAAAATTCCTAACGTGTAAGGATAAGGTTACTAAAGTTTGCTGAGCAGGATCCTTTTGGAGAATGAATGCATACTGTCTTTATCCATGGGAAGTGACACAGAAATGTTAATGTTCATCTCCGATGGTGGTATAAAAGATGCTTTCTATTTTTCACCATTTTCTCAGTAAGAAAAAAGCAGGTTTCTCTTTTGCTACCAGAGCGGCCGCATCAGGCATTATCCTGGATCTGGGGAGCCTATTCAGCGGCAGCTGCGGCCCGGGCCGGCCTGCCTGGACTGTGTCGCGGGGAGCCGGGGTGTTACAGACAATAGACAAGCAAACATCAGGCTGGTGACAACGTGGGACGGGGTCCCTTTAAAGGGTGCCCAGGGAGCCCTCAGCCGGCGGCAGCACTTGAAAGCCCAAGCGCTCCCAGCCTGGTCGCGACCAGCACGGAGCGGATGGTGCGTGCGTGCGCGATCTCGGGGCGGCGGCGGCGCGCACGGGCGCGCCTCCGCGGCCAGCCCCCTGCAGTGGACGATGCCGCCGAAGCGGCGGCGGCGGCGCGCTGCGGCGGTCTGAAGCGGCGTCCGGCTGCCACGGGCCGGCGGCGCGATGAGCTGGGCGGCCGCCCCCGGCTCGGGGCTGTGAGGGGCTCGGGGCCGGGGGTGGGTGGCGGCGGCGCGGCGGGCGGCCAGCGCTCCTCCTCGGCGGCGGCGGCGGCCATGCGCGGGGCGGCGCGGCCGGGGCCGCGGGGCCGGGGCCGCCTCCCCGGGACCCGCGGCCTCAGGGCCCCGCCGCCGCCGCTGCTGCTCCTGCTCGCGCTGCTGCCGCTGCTACCCGCACCCGGCGCCGCCGCCGCCCCGGCCCCGCGGCCTCCCGCGCTGTCGCCCGCGACCGCGGGGCCCAGCGTGAGCCTCTACCTGAGCGAGGACGAGGTGCGCCGGCTCATCGGTGAGTGGGGCCGTCTGCGTCGGGGTGGGCAGGTCGGGCCCGACCCCGGCTGCTTCCGGCCTCCGGGGGCCCAGCCCTAGAGCGGGGGACCGGGGCCAGGTCGCGTCCCAGCTCCCGGGGGTCGTCTCGGGGCCCTGGCCTTTGCCTGCCTGACTTGGCCAGGAGGTGTGGTCCCTGCCCGGACCCCGCCCCGGGTCAGCCTTCCGGCCTGACCCCTACGTCCTCACTGTCCCGCCGCGAAAGACCGGGGATCCACCCCGTTCCGTCTTCCCCGCAGCCTCTTCGGCTTTTCGCCCTATTCCCTATTCAAGCGCCCAAACTTTTCTTCCCTGATGCACCAAGTTTCTTTGATCCTTCCTAGGCGTGTCATTGTAGGGCCCTGGATTTTGGATTTTTCGAAGTCCACGTTTTATTTAGACCAAACCTGCAAACCCCTGGCTGTGGTTTTGATGCCCCAGCAGAGGCCACAATACTGTGCTCTTACTTTCTGGTTATCATACATCTTTTTAAAAATGAGGTGGCGGGGGGGAAGGGATAGGTTAGAAGGGCACTACATGTTCGTGGCAGTCTCCAAATCTTGTGACGGATAAGCATATTTTTAAATGGGGAATGAATCTCTGGGTAGCAGACCTGTTAGTTTCTTCAGTATCTTTTTGGTTCTTGTCTTGGATATGTTGGACTGTGGACTGATCTGTATTTCAGGGCCACTCTCCTGCTCTGAATACCTTGTAGGGAAAGGAGAACTTAGCTTTGGGTCAGTTGGTTGTACCTTTCCACCTAATATGCTTTGTCGTTTGGGGAATTAATTTGAAAAATAATGGTGTTTTTGTGCTGAGACTGTGGATTCTGGAAATGAGCCCTAAGAGGAAGGTCTGATAAAAATGGCCCCAAATGGGAAGTCTTTGGTAGTTAAGGATACCTACACATTCTTTGTGTGTTAGACTTTCTTTTGTGTGTTGTGGCACAAAATAACAGTTCTCCCTCCTCTTTATTTAATCTCAGGTTTGTGGTACATCTTAGTGAAGGAGGGGGGATTATTTTTTTAATCATCCATTATCTGTCAGTTTCATTTTTATTTTTTTAAGTTTATCTTGAGGTCGACTCAGTGTTGAAATGGTATTGCTTTTAGCAGTCTGTTTAGACATTGTTACATATATGGGTTTGTAGTCTTTAATCAAAGAAGAATGCTGTGTTTTTGTAATGTCCTGCCCTTCTTAATCCTCTTTTTAGTCTAGTTGAATTAGCTAAATTTAGTTGAGATGAATTAAAACTGCAAATTAGGTTAGTACTTGGAGCATAAGACTAAGGTTTAGGGAAAATAATGAATGCTTACAAATAGACTCATATCACATAATTATTTAAAAATATTAATGCATTCTGCATGGTTTTTAAAGTTTTTTGGTTAAAAGCTTGTATATAATTTGTGACTTTGTTTACATATAAGAGTACATGTTAGAAACCAGCCAAGTGGGGGTAGGGGTTAGGAACAACCAGAGGCTGACATTGAGTGCCTGCCATTTACGGGCCCCTACATGTTTCATACACATCGTTTCCTCTAATTTTCTTGTGACCCAGTTGAGTAGATACTATTACTCCCATTTTAGAGTTTAAGAAAGTGAGGCTTTAACCTTTTCAAGGTCACACAATTTATAATTATTAAAAAAAATAAACACAGTGTTGACATAGGCCACGAAATTATATTAAATTTAATGAAGATATTGTTTATATAGAAGTTTTGTTACGGCATGGTGGAAAAGAAGTCATTGCTAATTAATACTTGAAATAATGTATATGTATTTGTCACCTGACCGATGAACATCCAGCTTTATGACCAGGAATGAGCTCTTGGGAGGCGGGGAGGGAGGATTGCTTCACTGATCAATCTCTGGGGTAAGAGGGACCTCCAGTGGTATTTTTTCTAATGCAGATAGAGTTGACCTGTTAAATTTTGACTCTCCTTGCCAGATCTAGGTCCATCTCCCTATCCACCCTACCTTAAAGTATTCCTTGGCTGTTCTGGGTGGGGAAGAACAAGTGGGTAGGACTCAGATGTGTACCAGGCATCTTGAGTTCTCAGACTGCAGTTTCTCATAGAAACTCTTACGGTGTTTAAGACTACTTGAAATAATAGTTTGCACTACATTTTTGTATCATTGTGGGTTAAATGCCTCTGAAAGCTGACTTGGGAAGCTAGTCATCATTTTATAATATTTCTAAGACGATGAGTTTGGAATTCCAAGTAAGAAACTTATAAATGAACTTGATAGTGACAGCTTTATAAATTGAACTAATTGCCCTTGATATGAGAATAAGTTGGTGTTTTAATCCAATTAATACGTGCACACAGTTTAAAAATCAAATAGTGCTAAAAGGCTTAACAGAAAACACAGCAGTGTCCTACCCTTGGTCTTTTTATCCTCCAGGTCCTACTTTCCAATGGAAGCTACCAATCTTACACTAGTTCTGTTTATTTATTTATTTTCCTGTTTTTTACTTTCATGTTTTGAAATTAATATAGAATAAGCATTCGATTGCCTAATACCATAATTGAGCACTTGCACTGTTCTCTGCCCCAGTTCCTCGATATAGCTACGTAACAATTTTTGGTAAAACCAACAATCAGTATTTACATTATTGCATATATATTTATTGCTCACTTCTGAGTTAAATAGTGATGCCAGATTATGGGGTTTTTTTTCCCTGGAGCAAATAACTGCCTTCAACTTTTTGGTTAGTTTTTCATGTATTTATGGCTACATTCCTCAAATACCCCAAGAAATATGTTCAATGCCTTTGATATTTTTTTCCAGGTAGCACAAATCATCTCTCATTTCTACTGGGTTTCCTCGTAGAGACTCCCTGCTTGGGAGCCTTCGATCCTCTTGTTCCATTCTGGCCAGTAGGATTGTTTTTCTTGTAATTTCTGTTCCCTTCTCTCCTGCCTTGGAGCCTGTTTCCTGGATCACTCGTTTTCTTTTTCTTGGTTTGCTTTGTTTTGCTAAAGCGTATCTTCAGTAGCTTCCTAAGAAGGGATGCATGGGAGGTAAATTATTTGAGGCCTTGCATGTCTGAAGGTGTCTACCATAGGTGCTTTATAGGTCCTTTATAGATAATTTGGCTACATTTAGAATAGTAGGCTGAAAATACATTTTTTTCCCATAATTTTGGATTGGATTTAAGGGTTTCTGATGAAAAACTCAAAATCATCTGATTTTTGTTTGTTTGTTTTTATTTTTCTGTTTTTATTGAAGCTCAGGGCCTTTTCCTCTGGTATTCTGAAATTTATTTTTAAAAAGATTTTATTTATTTATTTGAGAGAGAGAGAGAGAGCAGAGAGGGAGAGGGAGAAGCAGACTCCCCACTCAGCAGAGAGCCCGATAGGGCTCAATCCCAGGATCCTGAGATCATGACCTGAGCCTAAGGCAGACGCTTAACTGACTGAGCCACCCAGGCACCCCTGGCATTCTGAAATTTTAATAAGCTTTTGTGTGGGTCCTTCCTTCTGTTCGCCTGTTGTCTATCTTGTTTTAGTAGGCCCTTTGGTTCTAGAGACTCATATTCTTCAGTTTTCAAAAACGTCTATTACTTTGATGATTTCCTACCCTTTGTTTTTTGTTTTTTTCTTTCTTAGACATCTATTGGTTTGATTATTGAATCTCCTGGAATTGATCTTCAGATACTCTTAACCTATGTTTCCTCTTGTTTATATCTTTGTATTTGGAGGTGGAAAATGTGTGGGTGGGAATCTTCTCAATTATGTCTTCTAAACTTTTATTTTTAAAATTCTAATGATGCTTCTAAGTTTCAGAAGCTCTTTTCTCTGTTTTCATTTCCATTTCTTTTCTTTTTTTTTTTTTAAGATTTTATTTATTTATTTGAGAGAGAGAGAATGAGAGAGAGCACATGAGAGGGGGGAGGGTCAGAGGGAGAAGCAGACTCCCTGCTGAGCAGGGAGCCCGATGCGGGACTCGATCCAGGGACTCCAGGATCATGACCTGAGCCGAAGGCAGTCACTTAACCAACTGAGCCCCCCAGCGCCCTCCATTTATTTTCATTTTCTGTTTCCATTTTATTCTTTATGGTTGTATTATCTTTGAGGTGTGTGTATATATATTTTTCATTTTTCCTATATGTTTAATATGTTTTTAATATTTCTTCTGCTTCCTCCAGTGTGCTTGTTCATTTCAGGGTTCTTTTTATGGTTGTTTAGATCACAAACGTCTGGTCATCCTTGGCTGTCTGCAATTAAGAGTGAGATGCTGAAAAGTTGATTAGGAGAGAGAGTATGTGTGCTGGTGGTCTAGTGACTTCCTTTGGAGTACAGGTAGACTTTTCATTGCCCATCTACTCCACATATCGGCACCTTCACATCTTCCTTGAGAACAGTCAGTGTCTGCAGAGAAGATACTTCGAATAGCCTGCCACTGATGTGTTTGGTAATACACTGGCTGCCTGGGTTTGGGTTATGTGGTTGAGGAGGGAAGGAATGGAGATAAAGGCCACCCACCATTCAAGCTGTAGACTTTGACTGCTCCTCTTTACAGTTCTTCTGCCTCTGTGGTTCAGTTTCTTCAGAAAAAACTTAGGGTCTCCTGCTGGATCTGGTGGCCCACCCCTTGTAGAGGCACCCCCTTTGTCAGTCCTGAGCCTCAGGCTGGCCTTTGGTACCTCAGGGGTCCTGAGGAGCAGTGACCACTTCTTCCTCTGGCTCCCCTCTTGGAAAAGTTTGTTGAAATGTATGTTGTGTTGTTGTCTTCTTTCCCTTTCTGTTTGTCTTTGTGGTTTAATGTCTTTGTGATTTCATTAGTATCATTCAAAGGAGTTTGGGGATGAAATGGGGATAAAGGCCAGTGGTCATTCCACAATATGTAAATGACAGTTAAGGTTGGGCTTTGACTATTGAAGAGCTGTTGATGTGTAACAGGTTTGTTTTTTGTTTTGTTTTGTTTTTTTGTAGTAATATTTAGAAGAGTAGTGGTTGATACTTTTTAGAATGCTGC